ACCCCGCACAACATGATCTACTCGGCCACCATTTTTGTTACCGCCAAAAAAAAAACCGGAGGTAAAAAAAAAAAACGGTAACCTGGTTGCCGAGTTCACAAAGTTAATTGGCTTGTTTTAAAACGTCGGTGCCAAGCGACGAAAACCCAACCCCGATGGCAAACACCAGGGGGGGGGGGGGGGTGGGTTAAGGACGAGAACAGAGCTTGTTCAAGTTGGTTTGTTGGGATGCACGATGCAGTAGTCCATTGGCAGCAGCTTCTGGACGTCGGAGGTATGGAGATGCATCGAGAAGTAACCGCCACCGACGAAAATCGAGACTAGTAGCTCCGAGAGATCGGTCCGAGAGGAAACACAGCACCTTCTTTCAAGAGGAGCCGATCATACTGATCAGACCACCGACAGATGTGCCAATCCAAACAAGGCAAGGTGGTGCCACATTTCCCGAGACTCGTTTATGTACATCATCAAGTTAATTGGAGAGAAAACTGCAACGACAGCAGATTCTTGCAAGTGTTGCTGTGAGTAGATGTGACCGTCTACAGGCAGTCAAGCACACGAAAGGGGCTGCGTGTCTGCAAAGCGAAAAGACGGAGAGAAAACGCGAGTTGAAGAACTTCGACAAGTACTGCGAAGTAGCACGCACGGGGACTGCGAACACGGGAGGAGAGTAGCGCAGCTACAACAATAGCTGCTACCATGTGCTACTGCTGTGCTACCTCGTCAAAGCTACAGCAGTAGTGACCTGCACGTGTGTCCGCCGCGCAAAACCCGCTGTCGATATGCTTGACTCTCACCTTGTTTTCCTTGCCAGCAGCCGAGATCTCGAGCGAGCCCGGGCACAGGCGTAGGGCCAGGTTCAGCTCGGAATCCTTGTCGAACACGATGTCGTCCCCATCAGGATCCTTGTACGTGAAGGACAGGTCGGTGTCCTTGGCGGCCTCGCCAGTGAGGGAGCGGACAGGCAGCTCTACCTCGAAGACCGCTGCGATGGCCGCTTGGAGCCTGGCGAGCGTAGCCGGAGCCGGAACGCTCACGTCGCGTGAAGCGCCCTGGAAGTTGATCTTGATGGAAGAGGTAGTCATCGTCTTGTCGTTGTTGTAGCGGTTGTTGCGGTTGTATTTGATGGTGTTCTTGGATGTAAGTTGTGTGGGGGAAGGGCACATCCGTGTGAGAGATCGAATTCTAGAACCGAAAAATGGTTCTCGATGTTCCCCAAGAACCTAAAGGACGATCCTGAAGAACGATCCCGATGTTCTTCTCGAACATTTTCTTGTCTTTCGAGAACCTCGTTCGAATGTTCGAAAATCCGTGGAGAGAAGATGGCGTGAGGCTCTCAACGAGTCGACCTCTCTGCTGCTCTGTGGGCGCATGTGCCAAATATCCGGCCACTACTTGTGCGTTGTTGTCTTCGAAGAGCTCTTAGACAGCTCTCTCTATAGCATTTGTTAGTAATCTTGCGCACGCCAATGTCTGCTGGATGGATCCAGATATACCTCCGCTACACCTGTCCCCTCCAAGGTACGCGCGCGTTTGAAGTTGGGTCCACCCGTGGCGGTTTCAATTTCAAAATGTGGAATAGGGGTGGAAGGGAAAAACCCATTATCGATATCAAAAAAAGATTCTGAAAGATATATTCTGTTCCGTGGTGAGCAGCAGTGCAGAGCGTGCAGTGTAGACCTGCTGGTGGTGGCTAGAGGAAAGCTGAAGATGATACGCTGCAAGGATTCCGGTCCTCCCTCGGCATTCGTACCTCGGCAACGGCGGAGAATTCAATGCAGTCCAAGATGATTCGGTTGTCGGTCTGTGTGGGAACGATGCGAGATGAGAGCGAAACTGAGACGCGGAGGAGCTCCGGAGAGCTACTGGTATGGTTTGCGTGGTTTAGAACGGCGTCTACAGATTCCATCGTAATAGAGAAGATAGGGTTGCAGGGTGACGAGTGACAGAGCACGGACCGCGGGGTTCACGCTTCTTATGTGTGCCTGCCGTGCGGTTGGCAGTTCTTGCTCCTGTTTGTCTACGTACAATTGTTGTACTTGCTGTACTGCTGTAGGTAGCTGGGGCCGCTGTGAATCAAGCGTCAATTCCCACACCAGATGCGCTGGGAATAGTTTCACATGAGTATCTCTGCCGTCTATTTTGATGGACAGTGGCAAGCTGTCGGCGTTGCTGCTCTTGCGTGTTTCACCCAAACGTTAATAACCAACAACCAGATTGTTTGCTGATCAATCAAAAGACGCCTGACGCACGCACCCATATACAGCACACACGTGTGATGTAGGAGCCAAGATCATGATTACCCGCAAGACACTAAGCACGCTCCTCACAGTCGGCATGGGGCACGTAAAAAGGGAAACATTCTGCCTACCCCATGCAGTTGACTTCGGCGCCCTGAAGAGCCGATACTGGGGGAACACATAACATTTGGTGTCAAGGAGGAATCAATGAATGAGGCTCAATTCACGCTGCATATCTTCTGTTGAAGAACGGTATTCTGATGGTGATGTTGCTGAGAACCCTACATAAACGCGTCTGCCGAATCACGTTAGAGTAAGTAGACTAGTTGGATGGAGGACCTACCATGTAGACTTGACACGTTCGTACCTGGCTACTGGAAAGACCATTTTACCTGCGTGGGTTCGGGGGAGGACCAAGCGTACAAGTTGGATGGTGATTTCAATGTTTTTTTGTTTACCTCAGGCTGTCGACATGGTGATTGTGAGACCTTGGGAGAGTCTGCGATTTTTGATCCGAGTTAGAGTGCGGGTCCCGACTTGGCAGTTCCCTGTTTAGCGAGATTCCCTGTAGCGAGGTAACAACTCTCGTGGCACCGCTGCATGCACCCTGTCTGGCGGCTATACAACCCCGAAACCGGTGGTGCCCGCAATGCCGGGGAATGGAACTGTTTATTTAGAGTGAGCAATAGCGGCTATCGGGTTCAATTTGCCGAGACCCGCCGCGCGCTTGGGCACACGGCGAAGAACACCTATCTCACGGGAGCCACACAGCGGATGGAGGGGTGCGCAAAATTCCAGACCGTAGATGTGGCACTTGGTCCAACTGAAGGGCATGGTTGTCGCGGTGACTGCAGTGGCCGCGCGCACGGCATGTGTGGGGACGTTGAGGGTCCAGATGGCGGCAAAGAGATGTACTCCATTTATATGCCCGTGTTTAACGAAGAAGGTGCAGCGTCCCCTCAACGAGTCTACCCAAGCGCCAAGTACGATTTTCCTATTTGTAGGGGCTGTGCCTTGGCCACTCGCTGTCACTGCCTTTGTCTCCAGCCCCCTCCTCTTGGTTGTTTATGAACGATTGTTCTTGGTTCGAACTGTGGTGATATCAGGTCAGAGTGTTAATCAAAAGCGGGAAACGAAATAATGCACCTGATCCACTACGATGTGTGCGGCTGAAATGCCTAACAGTAGAAGACAGTCGGAGGACAACAAGCTTCGTGTTTTCCTGTATTGACACGTGCAAAATCAGTGCCCCTGGGTCGTCGTCTAACAGTAGAAGACAGTCGGAGGACAACAAGCTTCGTGTTTTCCTGTATTGACACGTGCAAAATCAGTGCCCCTGGGTCGTCGTCTAACAGTAGAAGACAGTCGGAGGACAACAAGCTTCGTGTTTTCCTGTATTGACACGTGCAAAATCAGTGCCCCTGGGTCGTCTACTCAAGGGATGATTGCCGCTTCTCCCAACATCGTACATGTATGAAAATTCCAGTAAGACACACGCATCACTCTATTTTATACGAGGTGTGCGATCCTGCTCTCGTTTCGCAAATTTGGGGGCAATTTCTCGGTTTTTGTGGTTTACATCATCATTTCGAGCTGCTCTCGGTTTAGCGGCACTACGTACAACCGCTCGAGGGGTGTAGCGCGATCCCTAAGTGTTGGGATTTGTATGCAAGAACTGACTCTATTCTACTGCATGGGTTTTGTGCAGTATTGTGAAGGCGTGTCTCCAAGTCTGTAACCGTCAGGTGAAGACAGCTTGGGCGCCTGTGTTTTGGATCTAATGATCACTCTGTGTTGTATCTACCCAAACTGCGCCACCACTGCCAACTACACAACAAACAGCAACTACAATTCT